TTTTGAATAAATTTGGAATTAAGTCCAAAAATAAACTTGTTCCAAATGACCTCAAAAATTTATGTAAGCTTCCTTATGTCAAATTAGTGTACCAAAACATATTTCATAATTTTTTGGAATTATACAGTGGCCAACAAAAATCATGGAAATTGCATTTATTAATTAATGGACTGAATATTTGAACATTAAAAATTTATTCAAATTTCATGTTTCAAATTTTTAAACCATACTAGAGCATGTACAGAAGATACACAAATTTTTTCAGAATTTTTGGAGCTATGATTATTTTCCTACAAATTTCCAAAGATTCAGCACTATTCAAAATCAGAAAATAACAAAAGTCACTATTCTCTCTCTTGCTCTCATTGACAGCCGACCCCCACCTGTCATCCCCAACCTCGGGCATTGACTGTGGCTGCGACGGCGCTGACCGGCGCAAACTCGCCAACGATGAGCCCAACAGCGACGGCCAAAGCACTAACATATTCACAAGAGCTAGGCGCATCGATTAGTGGCACTTTGGAGGTCGATTACAACATGGAACAACGGCCATGGCGGGCGCGGTGGCACGGCAACGTTACGCCGGCGAAACAAGACCAGTAACGGTGAAACAGAGAGTTCAGGAAGCATCAGTGGCTCACCCCGATCGTGTTGAAGCAACAGGCGAGACCGGAGAAGCTACGAGGACGCATTTCGACGGTGACCGGGATCACGGCGGAGCGGACCTCGTCGACGACAGCGTTCCGGCGACTGCAGTGGGCAAAACGAGCAGGCAAGAGTGGAATGAGCACTACAGCATCGCGACGAAACCAGAGAGCCAACAATCGAGGGCAACGGCTCACCGGATGAGGCTGGCCACGGTGAATCGACATTTCCGTTGAGGTCGCCGGCCGCGAGGAAGATGAACGTGGACAGCGAGCTCTCGGCAAAATCAGACGGTAGCAACAGCTCGGTCAGATACGCAAGGAGCAGGCGAAACTGGAACACGGCTTTTCCGGGGCTAACTTGCGCTGAGGGGACGAGAGAAGCGCAACGGAGTTGAGACGGCGGCGTCGGGAAAACAGAGTGAAGGAAGAAAAATGAACGGCGTCATCAGGGTCTTATAGCTCTGCCAGGAGCGCGCGGACTCGACACGCAGAGTGCTCCCCATGCCAGCGCGAAGCCAAGGGCGGTCGCAGACGCGCCTGGAAGGCCGGAGAAAGGACGCCGGCGGTGAGGCGGTGGCGCCATGTAGTTATCTGAATTTTTGAAATAATTATAGATTTGCCATTGAGTTCATTTTACAAATTACTCCCAATTTTTCTAAAGAAGTTGAAAATCTCCAAAAATGAAAGTTGCTCAACTTTTCAAACTCTACAACTTTGCTTCAAGGAATATTTTCAAATTCTGCCTCCATTTTGAAATTTGAATTTGGGGTGCATTTGAGTATTTGAATCATTTCAAAATTACTCCAAATTTTATATGTAAACTTGAAAAACTTTGAATACCAAAGTTGACCCTTATAAAATAATCTTCAACTTTGCTTTTTGCCTCAACCCCAAATTCCACATGGATTTTGAATTAGTCAAAAGGGGCAAAAAGGACTTTTATAATTTGAATTTGAATTCAAATTTGATTTGTCTTTCTTTTACTTTAACTTTGATTTTTGACCAGTAACATGGCCCATTAGGGTTATTTGAGTCAAATGACACATGGCCTCACATGATCACATGAAATTTGAACCTTGTGGTCATGATCTTTATTTAGGGTTTTGAAACACATCACATGAAATAACAACATTATGAAATAAAGCTTATTTAGTGAATGCATTCAAAATTTTCTACTCCATGAATGCTTTGCAATGCATATGATGACATGTCAAATTTTAGTGCTAGGTCAAAACACCAGAGGTGTTACATTAAATATTTTGCCTATTAAATAAACTCAAATAAAAAGATTTTGTCTACAAAGTTTTAAATCTTGTCGAGCACTGCAACTTTAGTAATCGGATGTGTCTGCAACTGAGATTGTTTAAAAATTGCAAAAAATTTAATCTTAAAACATGTTAATTTAAAACAAAGATTTGTGACACTATAAAACTTCAAATCAAAAAGTTATCAAGAACAAACATGTAGATCATGTTGACCACTACAACTTTGGTATTGACTCTGTAAACATCAAAATCGTTTAAAAATTCTAAACTTTAAATTTCAATATCTAGTAACTTAAAACATATATTTGGGACTTTAAACAACTTCAAATAAAAATATTTCAACTACAAAGATATAGATTATATTGACAACTACAACTTTAGTATGGGCCATGTCAACATCCGAGATTGTTCGAAAGCTTCAAATTTCCAAATTCGTGAACTTAAAACAATATTTCGGGACTCTAAACAGTTTCAAGTAAAAAACTTTTCAACTACAAAGATGTAGATTACGTCGAGAGCTATAATTGTTATATAAAGTTTGTCTTCATTTAAGTCTACATGGAAAAGCTATAAATTATTTTGGATGCAACTATTTATAGAGATTAGAGACGAGCATCTTAAGATGTCTGTCTCTGAAAGTCAATTTACAAAGCCTCTATTAATCAATGATTTTCAGAGACGGTCACCTTAGGACTCCTGTCGTTGTTAATGATTTTTGGACGTGTGCATTTTTTTGGAGGCAGCTTGACCATTTACATTTGCGGTCTCTAGATATGTGCGCCTTTGTTAATCAGAGAAGTTGTCTCCTAAACTCGTTTTTATGGTAGTGCTATCTACCAAAATATGTTATTAGTGAGAAATGTACATATATATATATATATATATATATATACATACCTTAGCGTGCACAAAGTCCTGTCATTTATTTAAACTAGTAAACATGCACTTGCAGCACACACGTGTCTTGTCGGAAGGTAATTTTGGACTAATCTCGGATTCAACTTGGGACACAAGTTTGGTCCAAGTATCAGGTCATAATACAAAGTATTAAGTATGTGTCGGCATTTCGAGTTGTCACCGACTAGTAAATTTCTAATATTGTGCGTCTGGCTCGGATGGTGTGCTAAGAGGACACGAGATTTATATTGGTTCGGGCAGAATGTCCCTGCATCCAGTTCGTTGCTGCTGCTCGTGTTACTAGCACTGAAAGTTCGTAGTAGGGGTTACAAATGGTCAAGAGAGGGACGGGTCCCAAGTCTCTGATGAGAGGAGCGAACGGATGCCGAGAACTCAGTCGCTTCCCGGCTGTGTGCTTATGTGTTCTGATCGGTTCGGGGTTCGATGGGTTCCAATCCCAATCGATGCGATGTGTTGCGATGCCCTTTATGGAACGCCCTGCTTTCCCTTTTATAGACTAAGGGAAAGCACGGGTTACAGTGGAGGGAAAAGAGGATGATGAGAAGGAGAAGAAGCCCTCCAGGATCATCGGGTTCTTCTTTTCCTTCACGTGGGTCTCGCCGACCCTGTAGACGTCAACAGGGACAGCTTCACGTCGCAGCCCTGTCCGTCATTGGCGCCATGCGCAGGCGTTGTCTCCCGGTCGTGGCGCTCCACTACGTCATGGCGGACGTCGTGGTGAACCGACGCGCCTGTTAGTGCTCGTACGAGGGTTAGGCAGAACAGCACCGGTACACCCGACGTTGTTCCTGATGTGAATCCCCATGTATGGCCCGTCACGGCCACGGGTTATATCGGGGCATGCCGGTCACCTCCTTGGCGTCAGAGCTTTGACCCAGGCCCATTCGCTTGGACCTGGAGTGGTTGACGGCGGTATGGGTCTTCATCGGGCGAGACGGATCCCCCGGCCTCGGGGTCGGTCGAGGCGGAGTCCCCCCCAGAGGTCGGGCGAGGCAGAGCCCGCCCCTAGAGGCCGGGCGAGGCGGAGCCAGCCCTCAGAGGTCAGGCGAGGCGGAGCCAGTGGCCTCGGTGTCGGGCGAGCCAGAGCCAGCCCTCAGAGGTCGGGCGAGGTGGAGCCCGCGGCCTCGGTGTCGGGTGAGACGGAGCCCGCCCTCAGAGGTCGGGCGAGTCGGAGCGCAAACCCAAGGGTCGGGCGAGGCGGAGCCCGTCCCCGGAGGCCGGGCAAGGCGGAGCCATCCCTCAGAGGTCGGGCGAGGCGGAGCCCACGGCCTCGGCGTCGGGCGAGGCGGAGCTTGCGCACCTGGGGGTCGGTTGGAGCTGTAGTCGTGCTCTTGACTGCTCGGATGAATCAAAGTTGATTGTTATTAGCTCCTCCTCTTCGGGTACCCTAGTATTGGTCCCTGACAATATGTATGCATGGTTTCGTAATTATGATATATTCATTATCGAATCTTGTGAGAAATATGATGGTAATGAGATATATGTGATGTATTAGTAATATCGAATATAAATATTACACAAAATATCTATTTAAATGTAATAATAAAGTATATAAAATTAAGAAAATGAAGGTCACTGATGATTAAAACCACTGAACCGGCAGTGATCCCCACGTTATCGTTATTGGGTACCCAATAGTGATATACTCCATACTGGTGCTATTACTGCCGGTTCTAGCGTAGAACCAGCAATGATATTGGCCTTTTACTATTGGGTCAAGAACTACCAGTGATAGGCGAGCTCTATCCATCACCGCCGCCTGTTATCCCTTACGGGATCCATTTTCACTAGTGAAGCCGGATTTAGATTTGGCAGTGATATAAGGATCTGGAGTGATTGCATTTTGTTTGGTCGGGAGGAATTATATGTACGCTGACGCTAATAATGGAAAGTAGACTTCGTGGTGATATGTGATCTGGTTAGCTGAATCATTGGTGCATGGTGCTGTGGTGACAAAAAAAAATGGAAATGGTAGGTGGCCTTGTTGCTGGTGGGTCTACGTCTACGTCTACGTCCCATTATGGATCATGCCGACGATAACAGCTGAACTAAAAATCATATCCTCTTTGCGTCGAGATTAGCTCAAAATTCACAAGTTTATAAATAGCAAGTACAGGATACACAAGGTACTAGCTGTATTATTTGGTCGCTGCATGCAGCTGATCAGGCCATGCAGCAGGCAGCAACCATGCAAGTCCTCCTGTCGCTGCTTCCATTGTTGGTTCTCCCGGTGGCCATCCTGCTCGTCCGGCGTGCAACGCCGCCGCCGATCAAAGGACGCCTGGCCACCCTCAAGTCTGCCATAGCACGTGCACGTAAGCCAATTATCTTCGTCACGGACTTCGCCACGGCGCATCACCTGCTTGTGCAGGGCAGCAGAACCGCCGCCGCCGGCGGCGGATCCTTCTCCAACCGCCCGCCGTCCATGGCACCCAGCGCCGTCCTCTCGGGCCGCCGCTACCACAACATCAACTCGGCACCCTACGGCCAGCTCTGGCGCGTCCTACGTCACAACCTCACCTCGGGAGTCCTCCACCCGACGCACCTGCACCGCTACGCGGCCGCGAGGCGCCATGCGCTACGCGGCCTCATCGCCGACCTCAGGGAGCAGCAGCTCGCCAACGGCGTGGCCCTCGCCGCGGAGAGCATTCGCTGCGCGGTGTTTGGTCTCGTCTCCACCATGTGCTTCGGCGACGGCGTCGACGCGGGCGTGGTTCGCGCCATGGCTGACGTCCAGACCGAGCTAGAGTCCTGTCCTTGTCCACGGTGCGCACCTTCGTGTTCGTGCCGTTCCTCGCGGTGTCTAAGCTAATCTACCGCAAGCGGTGGAACAAGCTGGCTGCGATACGGCAGAAGCAGGAGGAGCTGTACCTCCCGCTCATTGACGGCTGCCACAGACATAGCCGGGAGTCAGACGAGACACCGTCATACGTGCACACGCTCGTCGACCTCCAGGTCCCAGTAGAACTCGACAACCACGACTGCAGAGGCGAGCAACAGCAGCAACGGAGGCTTGAGGACGGTGAACTCGTGGGACTCTGCTCGGAGTTCCTTGGTTCCAGCACTGAATCTGTATCTGCGTCGCTGCAATGGATCATGGTGAACCTAATGAAACGCCCAGACATGCAGGAGGCCATCCGGAAGGAGATTGACGCTGCTGTGGACGCCGACGCCGAGGAGGTGGGGGAGGAGGTTCTTGGGAAGCTGGATCACCTCAACGCTGTCATCTTGGAGGCGCTCAGGCTGCATCCCACCACCAAGTTGGCATTTAGGCAGGTAAGCCAAGAACTCCTAGGGAGTAGTCCTTCCATTCCAAATTGTACTAATTCGTTTTAACTTTTGCTATCTGGATTTATATATGTGCAACGTCTAGATATATATAGTACTCCTATAAAACTGCTACTCCCTCGGTTCTAAATTGTAAGTCGTTCTGAATTCTTTACATCCGTAACGCCTCCGTGTATAGTAAAAATTATATATGTAGGAAAGCTAAAATGATTTACAGTTTGAAACAGTGCAATTTGGAATGGATGAAATACAAAATTAAATTACTACATGTACTAGGAGTGTTATTATTATTTTCTTCAATCTTTTGTTATAAATTATCTTTTGGAGCTAAATTGAGCCAGTGACAAAATCTCATGTATATATATGTAATTTCCAAAAAAAAAAAAAGGTGATGGAAGAAGACCAAGTGGTTCATGATGGCCACCCTATTCCTGCGGGCACCAAGATGGTCTTCCCCTTGGAGGCTCTAGCGAGGGACAAGACAGTTTGGGATGATCCCGATGAATTCATGCCAGAACGTTTCCATGGATGTGGAGGTGGAGAAAGCACGAAAAAGCTGCTGTCCATGGCCGCGGAGATGAAGATGATGCCTTTTGGTGGCGGCCGGAGGATGTGCCCTGCTATAAGCGTCTCGTTGCTCCACATCAGCTACTTCATGGCAAACCTTCTGAGGGAGTTTGAGTGGAGGGAAGCAGAGGGTGAGCACACCGTCCAACTCCACACCGATCCCGCCATCGAGATGTTCAATTTCATGAAGCGTCCACTGCGTGCTCACCTTGTGATTCGCAGACCGGAAGGCAAAAAGTTTCGTTAAGTGGACAAGTATCCTGTTGGTCCATTGATATGCTCACTATCTCAACTGTTATATGTTCAACTTTTATTTCCATTATTACATATAAATGCGGATGCGGTTTCTAATTAAACCGGTAGCATGTGCTGCATGCCCAATTTTTTAAGAAAAAATTGTACCTGAACTGTTTGAGCTAAGTTGATCCCACAATGTAGACTATATGGTCTTTGCATTCTGCAAGCCAATGTTGTTGGCAAAGAAAGGTCACATAGACTCCAACGTTCCTCATTTATGGTCGATTATTATACTTGTCGATAAAAAACAATGCAATTGTTTCTTTAGGCAGACGGGAGGGATTACCCGCTACTGGAAATTTTATTAAACAAGATAAAAAAGTTGTTACAAGACAGATCAAGAAACAAAGAAAGACAGGAAGAAAATAAGAAAGCTTACAACATGTTGAATCTAATCTTAGCATAAAACATGTAGCACACGATGTACACAGGATCTTAACACTTAGTCTAACACATGACCACAACTTATCTAATGCGGAAATACATAAGTAGATTAGTGCTAGACCAGTGTTGGCAGTCGCCATCAGCGCCTCCGGTGGTGATACAGTTGTCGATGGTGATGTAGATGAACGAAGATCACCGGCTGAGGGTTTGGGAACCCTCTGCATGTGACGAACTCGACGTGCGGGGTAGCGGTGGCCTTCTGGACGCCACCGGCACTGGCCTGGACGAGATACGAACCTTCCTAAACCCTCCAGCGCCTAAATGATCGGTTCTGTGATTTGACTCACGTGGTTGGATAGATGGAGACGCCAAGGGCGCCTCCCCTTATATAGTCGTGTTGTGGGCCAGGGGGGCGAACCCTAGAAAATCTAAGGGTTGCCGCCAATCATGGCAAATCTTATTTGTTGGAAATAAATGACAGGTGGACCAAATACTTAACAACTAATTAATCTCGTAATTAATCTCGGGATTAGCCGAGATCACATTCCAACCCAATAGAGTATCGATCCATGAAACTATTCGCAGGAAATATTTCTTCTTCGCTCGATGGATAACCATTGCAAATTCCTGACTAAAAACTAGTTTGACAACATCAGTGGTAGGGTGAGAGCCTTAACAAATGAGCCTATTTCTCACAGTCCAAATGCTCCAGCAGAAAAGGATAATAATCTCCATAAAGAAAGGAACATGTAGTTGTCTTCTGAAATCTTCGAAGACCGAAGAAATCTTTGACCAGGAGGTTGGGCAAGAAATATTTATAATCATCCAACAGGAGATGGCAAAAGGACATCTAAAAAACAGGTGCTCCAGAGACTCTTCAGTCCTCTTTGGTTGGGCTTTTCAACCTGCTTTTGCTTTTGCAAAAGCCAACCAAAGGGGTGAAAAGCCACAACTGCTTTAGGCCAAGTTGCTTTTCCTCCGGTCGCTGTGGACGCAGCTCCTCCAGATCCTCCAGTTCATCGTGGATGCGGCTCCTCCAGATCCTCCAGTTTGCCGTGGACGCCCTTCATGATCCAGAGAACATAACACACACGAATATATGATGGTAGAGCCATGTGGCGCTGGTGAAGAATGTCTCTGGTGCTCAATCGATCCTTCAACAAAAGCCAAAAGAAAACTCCGTGCTTAGATTGACAAGAATTTTTTCGAAGCCATTGAAAAACTATGGGGTGTCTGTGTCCAAAACGATGCCTATAGGCACTCCATGAAGAATAGGTGTGGAGCCCCAAATGTATGACCATAAGAGCAACTCTAGTAGGGACACCCAAATCAGGGCCCCTACATCTGATTTGGGTGCTCCCCCCTATTTTTGTTGGCCCAACATTTTGCTTCAACTCCAGCAGCACCCCAAATAAAAGACCCAAAATCCATATGAGCACACAATGACATGGGGGACCCACTTGTCATTGGGCCAACCTTTCTTCTCCCCATGCTCCACACACATGCCAGGGAGATCCATGGGGAGGAGTGCCCGACACTAGCATGCGTGGCGGGGTAGCAGCCACGGGGAGCCGTGCATGTCACATCTACTGGAGGGAGGGAGGAGCCGTACGACCTCGACAACCGGAGAGAGGGAGGAAAGGAGGGAGGAGCCATTTACGACCTCGACGACCAGAAGGAGGGAGGGAGGAGCCGTGCGCGCCCATCGGAGGGAGCTGGAGCAGTTCGACCGTGCCACGTCCGCCAGAGGAAGGGGACGGGAGGGACCACCGGATCTCGACGACCAGGGAGGGAGATCCGTGCTTGGGGAGGGACACGTCGCCGCGCGGGCGTTGCTAGAGGGAGCCAGAGGGAGAGGAGGTGATGAGAGGGCCGCCGAAGGTAGGGGAGGGCGGAGCTGCACGTGGATGGGGAGGGACGCACCGGGGGTAAAGGAGGGGCCGCCGAGTTGGAGCTGGCCTTAAGAGAAGCACAAGTAAACAATTTAACTTTAGATGACCCATACAGACACATCTCTTGATTCATCATCTAAACTATATATCAGAATCATGAAATTCAATAGCATGCATTCAATTCCTTTCTCTAAAAAAGTACACATCCAAAGAGTGTTGCCAAATGGGCCCATAGTATCTTGTCATCTTATTATTAATTACATGCTAGATTTCCTTTTTCTAAAAAAGTTACATGCCTATTGCTCGACAAAACAGTTTTCTCATCCCCATGCTGCTGGCCCACTATATATTACTCCCTCCATCCCAAAAAGTCATATTTTGTGATTTTTTAGACAGATTAGTGGAAAAGAGAAATATCCCTAATACCCTTAGTATGTCACACATGAATCCCTTAAAAGAAGGGATGTCGCGTGGTTTACTTTCTAATTAAGACGCGTTGCATGCAAGTATGCAGAGATATGAGGTAGGCAACCACAGTAGCGCATCTCAATTGGTAATTTGACGTCGGATCGGGCCAACGGCGTGTCTAACACTCAAAACATCATTTTTTTGGGACAAATTTTAAATCACATAGCATCACTTTTTTTGGGGGACGGAGGGAGTATATATACAGAGTGCATGCCTCCTAAGATTGCCGAAGGCATATTAAATTTCTTGATTGCCCATCTCGTGGTCCACGCGTGATCACGACGCTTATCTGTTAGTGGTTTACCTATACATGTCACGATGTTTTGTTTGTCAACAAAATTGGATTGCTTCCATCATCAAACTCCAGAGACCTATCTACCCATAAAATAGTACCGTTAGTGACAAATATGTGGACTCTTCCTGCAGAAATTAAAACACAGTGCTACAAAAGCATTTTTACAAGCGGCCCATAGTATCTTGTCATCTTATTATTAATTACATGCTAGATTTTCTTTTTCTAAAAAAGTTACATGCCTATTGCTCGACAAAACAGTTTTCTCATCCCCATGTTGCTGGCCCACTATATATTACTCCCTCCATCCCAAAAAAGTCATATTTTGTGATTTTTCAGACAGATTAGTGGAAAGAGAAATGTCCATAATACCCTTAGTATGTCACACATGAATCCCTTAAAAGAAGGGATGTTGCGTGGTTTACTTTCTAATTAAGACGCGCTGCATGCAAGTATGCAGAGATATGAGGTAGGCAACCACAGTAGCGCATCTCAATTGGTAATTTGGTGTCGGATCGGGCCAACAGCGTGTCTAAAACTCAAAACATCATTTTTTTGCGATAAATTTTAAATCACATGGCATCACTTTTTTTTTTGGGGACGGAGGGAGTATATATACAGAGTGCATGCCTCCTAACATTGCCGAAGGCATATTAAATTTCTTGATTGCCCATCTCATGCTCCACGCGTGATCACGACGCTTATCTGTTAGTGATTTACCTATACATGTCACGATGTTTTGTTTGTCAACAAAATTGGATTGCTTCCATCATCAAACTCCAGAGACCTATCTACCCATAAAATAGTAACGTTAGTGAGAAATATGTGGACTCTTCCTGCAGAAATTAAAACACAGTACTACAAAAGCATTTTTACAAGCGGCCCATAGTATCTTGTCATCTTATTATTAATTACATGCTAGATTTCCTTTTTCTAAAAAAGTTATATGCCTATTGCTCGACAAAACATTTTTCTCATCCCCATGTTGCTGGCCCACTATATATTACTCCCTCCATCCCAAAAAAGTCATATTTTGGGATTTTTCAGACAGATTAGTGGAAAAGATAAATATCTGTAATACCCTTAGTATGTCACACATGAATCCCTTAAAAGAAGGGATGTCGCGTGATTTACTTTCTAATTAAGACGCGTTGCATACAAGTATGCAGAGATATGAGGTAGGCAACCACAGTAGCGCATCTCAATTGGTAATTTGGTGTCGGATCGGGCCAACAGCGTGTCTAAAACTCAAAGCATCATTTTTTTGGGATAAATTTTAAATCACATAACTTTTTTTTGGGATGGAGGGAGTATATATACAGAGTGCATGCCTCCTAACATTGCCGAAGGCATATTAAATTTCTTGATTGCCCATCTCGTGCTCCACGCGTGATCACGACGCTTATCTGTTAGTGGTTTACCTATACATGTCACGATGTTTTGTTTGTCAACAAAATTGGATTGCTTCCATCATCAAACTCCAGAGACCTATCTACCCATAAAATAGTACCGTTAGTGAGAAATATGTGGACTCTTCATGCAGAAATTAAAACACAGTATTACAAAAGCATTTTTACAAGCGGCCCATATTATCTTGTCATCTTATTATTAATTACATGCTAGATTTCCTTTTTCTAAAAAAGTTACATGCCTATTGCCCAACAAAACATTTTTCTCATCCCCATGTTGCTGGCCCACTATATATTACTCCCTCCATCCCAAAAAAGTCGTATTTTGGGATTTTTCAGACAGATTAGTGTAAAAGATAAATGTTCATAATACCCTTAGTATGTCACACATGAATCCCTTAAAAAGAAGGGATGTCACGTGGTTTACTTTCTAATTAAGACGCGTTGCATGCAAGTATGCAGAGATATGAGGTAGGCAACCACAGTAGCGCATCTCAATTGGTAA